AGTGACTGACAGGTTCCAACTGAAATGATTGTTGCTTCTGTTCCACTGAGGAGTTAAATATCTGAGTGGACTTTCTGGAGCTCAGTGCTAGTACTTAACACAAGGGAGAACTTTGACTTCAGTTTCTCTTTTCCCCCTGATGCTGGGTTGACAGTTTTGACACAGATTTATAAAGTGTCCATGAATGGAGGGGATAAAGGAGCCAGAGCCCAGCCTGTTCCCCAGGGCAGCACAGGCCAGTGCCAGCAAACACAGTTCCCTTTGCCTGGTTACTTTTGTCTCATCCAGGATATTATCCCCAGTCCCATTTCCACAGCAATTTTGTCCTTGTGCTGTTGTTTTTTCCCCCTCTTCCCTTATCCCAGTTTTTTTGCTTGGTCCTTCAAAACAAATCCCAAATTCTGTGCTCTTGAACAAATGAGTTTCTCCTGTGTAATAAGAGAACAAAAGAGGAGTCCCCGAGTAGGAGAGTTCATGGAGCGTGTGTTCTCCACTCCTGCCCTGCTGGGTTCTTTATCTAACAGCACATAATTGAATTGGTACTACAGCCTTATTCTCACAGAGAAAGAAAATCTAATTAGCACTCAGACTTCACACAGGCATTATTTATCTGAAGTCTCCAGCTCTTTTATCAGCCAGGGTTGCAACTCATTTAAGAAAAAAAAAAGTTGCTGGGGAGGATGTACAGGGTGGTTGTACGTGGTGATGTCCTTCACTTCTCTTCTTGCAAATAGAGTCTTGCATGTGGGACTTAACTGCTTCCAGGTGGAGTTGCCTTAGAGATCTTCCATGGATGTGCTTCAGTAAAACAAGATTAAAGCCCTTCTGAAGGAGGTCTATCCAGTCTAACCTGTCAGGGAGAAACCAGTTATATTTGAATGACTTAAAAAAAAAAAATGCTAATATTGCAGAGACTCCAGTTGTTTATGGGAAGCAGTTGAAGCTTTTCTGTGTGTCTTTAGCTGGGATGAGGCAGTTCTCACCTGGGCAGCTTGCACTCTGGACAGGGGATTTAGGCGAGTCCAGTTGGGTGATGGCAGCCAGGTGTCCCCTGTGGTGCTGGGCAGCTCGGGGGGAGTGGTGACAGGGTGACACGCCGTGGTGTCCTGCCATGCCCTGCCCCCCTGTGGGCTCCTGCTGGCCCCACGGTGGAGCTCAGTGATTCCCAGCCTTGGGCTGCTCCTGCCTGCCTGGGACTGGAGTGGTTCTGCCAGCTCGGGGGGCTCCCCTGAGTAACTGCAAGGCCAGGGCTCGCCCCTCGGTCCCAGCCCCTCTTCTCCTGCCAGCTGGAGACCTGCCCTTGTTCAGGGGCTGCACTCACCAAGCAGAGGAGATGCTGGGAGCTCTGCTCTGGACTAGCTGCCACAGAGGGTGACCCCCAAAGGTGTACCTGACCTTTTGGGTCCCTGTGGTGGGGCAGGCTGCTCCCTGCTGCTCATCGCTCTGTGACCTCCTTACGTGCACACTCAGCAGTTCAGAGGGACCCCCCTCTCTCGTGCAGCCCCTCTCACCCCCCTGCTCTTGCTGGTTGCCTCTGTGTTTGTGCCTCTGCCCTTCTGGGTGTTCATTTTGTCTCACTCGGTCCATCACGTGTTCTGTCTGTCTCTGACACTGACTTCTGGGTCATTCAAATGAGATTTTCCTCTCGGGATCTACTTTGTTTTTTTTGCAAAGTAAATCTGTTTACTGCCTCTGTGAATTCAGCCTGGTCTATCCTGAATGCTCTTTGTATCTGCTTGTTTTTCTCTAATCCTCTAACCTGGCTGCTGTTTTTTCTCCTCCCCTCTGTCTTGTAGAGAGGTCTGAAGAATGTGTTTGATGAGGCTATCCTAGCTGCCCTCGAGCCTCCGGAAACTCAGCCCAAAAGGAAGTGCTGTATATTCTAAACTTTCTCCTTCCCCTCTTGCTGCTGCTTCCTCTGTCCCACTACTGTAGAAACCTGGTTTAAAAAAAAAAGCAAATGAATAAAACCACCTTGATTGAAAGCTGTTGTGCCTGCTTACCATCTTAGAGCAACCTCTGTATTAGCTCTCGGACTGGAAACAGTACTTGATATCTTTAGTAAAACGTTGTGACTGTGGAACACGAACTGGACTCGCTTAACTCTCTGCTGCTCGGGTTGCCAGATGTGGGTAGCTTTATAATTCAGGCTGTTGGGGGAAAGGATCTGGTTACATCCTTTATTTAAAGAAAGATCAAAAGAATAAGACATGTTTGATCTTCTTGAATCCAGCTGGAAGAAACGCTGCGTGTGTTTTCAATTTCTACTTGTGACTCTTGTTAACTGTATTTGCATGACAAAAGTACATGGAACGGTGATCTGCAAGTTACACTGTAATGTGAAGGGTTTTCTGGTTCTCTTTGTGCAGTGAGATGTTTTTCTGTTGCTATTGCTTTGGCTGTCTGTGCTGTAGTGGAGTATTTGTCAGTCCTCGGGGGGAAGGAAATATCGATGTACTTGCTACTGCTTTATGAACTGTTAAAATTCTTGCTTTCACTAACATGGGAGACCTCTTCATTTCAATAATAGATCCTTAAAGCCTGTTAACTGTAAGATGTAAGCTTCTTACTATCATGCTTCTGACTTTTACTGTTTTAAGGAGAAAACATCAATTGTAGCTTGTCTTTCGATTTTGAAATTAAAAATTGCAGTTGTTTGTATAAGTGACTGATGAAGCTTTATTCCGATTTCCAATCCCTGGCTTCAGTTTAACCCTTAACACCACGTGCAGCACCCTCTCTGTCCTCCTCCCATCCTGACCTCCCTGGGACCATGCTCAGCTTCTGGGCTTCTGCTTCTAAGCGTGGGGTGCCCGGGGCCTGCCCGGCTGGTCGCTGCATGCTTGCCTTGCCTCCCCTCTGCCTGGCACACGGGGTCTGCTGCTCCACGACAGCTCTCCCATTGGAATGTGCCTCTCTCTGCTTTGTCGTTAGCATGTGAAACATGTCAGTAGCCAACTAATGATAAAAATTGCCTTCAGGAAATGACTTTGGTAGTGCTGCCTCCCCTGAGGTCTGGGCTCAGAGGAGCCGTGTTCCCGGGAGGCTGCGCCCAGGAGCCGCTCGGGGGCAGAGCGGAGGAGGCTCTGGGAGGTGTGGATGGCAAAGCACCTGGGTTTGCCTGCAGAGGGGTTCCTCTGCCTCTTGGAATTTGTTGTGTGAAAACTCAAAAATGAGACTGCCCCTTTCTCTCTTTGCCCCTTTCCAGAAAGGCCTAAAGAATGTATTTGACGAAGCGATATTGGCCGCCCTGGAGCCCCCGGAGCCGAAGAAGACCCGCAGGTGTGTGCTGCTATGAACGTCCCTCCACAGCCCCTTCTGCAAAGCTGGTGTCTGATGTCATACTAAAAGCAATGTTTAAATCAAACTAAAGATGACAAATTTTAAAATTTGTTTTCGCAATAATGACAAATGCCCTGCACTCCCATCTCCCCCACACGGCCCCTGTGTGAGATGAGAATGTTAGTGTCTGTCCCCCCAGTGCCCCTCAGTTCAGTTAATTCCTCAAATTAACTAGTTTATGTATTATCAGAAAACACTGATCAGTGCTAGGTTTTTATTTTGTTTACTGTTTCTAATTTTTTTTTTTTGTTTGTTTAAAATCCAGGCATGCTTGTGATGACTTTTTCTGTAACAGACTAATTCTAGGCTATTTTACTAAAGCCTTGTCTGGCAGGACTTGGTTCTGGTTTCAAGAATTTCTAGGGCTGCTCTGCAGCCAGCCAGCAGCCTGGGTGTGAGCAGACTTTAGTACTAAAGACAAATACAGGAAAGTAAATTGTCCCAAGCTGGTGCTCCTCTAAGGAGGAGTGTAGAAAATGCATCTGCACCTCCTCTGAAGTTGCCTTGTATCCCTTCCCCTGGCTTTCCACTGTGCAGGTCATCAATTTCCACCCCACCCTCTAAGTTATGAAGCCTTAGGAGTAGGAGAATCCTTTTCTCTGGATGCACCATCAGACTTGAAACTAGCTTGCCAGTCTCTTCCTCAATCTTTGACATCATAAGGTTTTGTCACCTGATGGAGAAATAACAGCACCTTTGTAAGCATGCCCAAGTGACTCAGTTGGCTTCTAACAGCTCCATCTTCTGCCAGTCCTCAGAGAGACACAGTGACCAGCACCTACATGGCAGGCTGGACACTGGAGGGACCTGGTGGGTGTTGAGGCAAGCTTTGGAGCTGGCCCTGGTGGTGCATCTTTTACTGGATGGCTTGGCATCCTTCAGGGAGGGGTGGAAAGGTCGACCTGTGTCAGCTGGAGCTGCAGGGAGGGGTTTCTAGTGTTTAGTGTGGCACCGTATAGGGACCAGGTAAGGGAATCCCCTTTTTCTGCATTTCCCTTGTAAGGAACCTTGAACTTCTGAGATGGGCTCCAGCCTGCTGAAGATTGTGTGCAGGGTCTTGGTGTAGACTGACTGCAGTGTTGTAGGGATTTTACCAAAAATACATTTTGGCCTGCAAATTCAAAGTTGTTTTTTTTTTAAGACTTAGAATCTTCTCCATCTTCCAAAATTCCAATTTCATGTAGACTCCTTAGTGTTGAACCAATGCTTTTTCATGTCTAAGTTCTTTGTATATGCATTCTTTTCAGATGTATTAAACAAAGTATCTTCACAAGCCTGCCTGAGGGTAGTTATTTCCCTTGCCTTTCTCTTGAGTGTGAAGGACTTGTAAATATGGATTTTATCCCTGGTGAGCCCCACTGTCCTCCTTGCAAGCTAGTTTGGGTCTTTCCTTAATCCTTAATCCTGTCAGTTCACGTCTTCCCTCATCTCTGCTGCTGCCCTCAGTCCTGTCAAGCTTGCTCTGAGCTTTGAAGCAATTTTCTTTCTGTCCTACCCAGCTCTGGAGAGAGGGCCTGGTGGTTCTTAGCAAGGGGAACACTCATGGTTGTGCATGTTCCTGAGCACTAACAGTTAGCTTTTGGGGGGTCACTGGGCTCTTAGACCTCTGCTGTCAGGGAGAGCTCTGGATGGAAGTCTTCCCTGCTCTTCCCTGCTCACGGGCAGATAGCAAGAACCCTGAAGGGACAAATGGCCTCATACCCATCTTGCTCCCAAAACCACACAGTTTATTACATCTTTTTATTCCTCCTCCAGAGAAACGGCCAAGCCTTAGGTGCATAACTTGTATTAATTATTAAAACACAAGGAACCTTATTTAAAGGTCACTTTTATTTTAAGAATCTGACCTGTGGGTGCTGTAATCCAAAAGCTGAGTGTAAAATGTGTTCTCACTTTTTTTCCTTGTGATTAGTGCTGCTGCTCAACTTTGGAGTAGAGTTGTTAATTGCTCTCTCCTATGAGGGTACTTTCAGCTGCAGATCTCTGGCTCTAGCTGGAAGCACTGCTGGTGCTTGGGACACCTGGGGACACTGGGCATTGGTGGCTGCTCCATGTGCTTGCCACAGGCTGAGATGGGCTTCTGCACCTCATTGCAGTGTCTAGAGCCAGCAGCAAGGCTGGTGACCAGGGAAGTGTCAGGCAGGAAACTGCCTCTGAAGGAAAAGCAGAACCCTTTGGGACTGCTGCTTTTAGTGGCAGGGTTAAGCCTTTTCTGCCTCAGTCCTTCATTGCTGGTTCATTTGGCTGAGCAATGAAGTCTGTGCTGTTAAATTGGTGCCATCAGGTTAAACTTGGTCTGGAGGGAATCCTGGAGGTGCTGGGTGATGTGGAAACATCCTCTGCAAAGAGCAGTGCTGCTTCCTTCCTCTGGGTTGTGTCAGCTTTGGGGAAGTCTGCTCGAGAGCTCTGTGGCTCTGCTGGGACCCAACTGTCCCCGACCAGAGAGAGGACAAGGTGCTGGACTGGTTGAACAAGCTCCAGCAGCTTAGCTCGTGGGCTTTTTCACACCATGCCTTTTGGTGTTTTCTCCTTTGGACCTCAGTGGTGAGGCCTCTCAGGCTGGTGGGTGATATGTGATCTCTGTGTGAGCTTCTCACAAGAGCTCCCTGGTGATTGGATCCCTTCCTGTGTGAAGACATGCAAAACAGAAGGTGCTGGACTGGTTGAACAAGCTCCAGCAGCTTAGCTCGTGGGCTTTTTCACACCATGCCTTTTGGTGTTTTCTCCTTTGGACCTCAGTGGTGAGGCCTCTCAGGCTGGTGGGTGAGACGTGCTCCCTGGTGAGTGGATCCCTTCCTGTGTGAAGACAAGCAAAACAGGGGCAAAACCACTCAGAAACACAACTTTCTTCCCCTTCTGGGAGTCCCACTTTCTGCTGGCAGGTTTGCAAGCAAAGCTCTTGGGGCCAGATGGGAATACTTGGCACTCCCTTGGTCCTGGCATGGCAGGTCCATGGGCTGAGCTGGGATTGCCTCACGTTACTGCACACACAACAGGAGACTCTGCAGATGCACCTGCAGCTCAGGGCTGTGGGGATTCCTGAGGTAGCTGTAGGAGCTCATGAGCACAACTAGTGCAAGATGGGACAAATTGGACCTGGCAGTGCTGGGTTAATAGCTGGACTTGATGGTCTTAAAGGTTCCAACAGAAATGATTCTGTGGTGAGGTCTGGGCTGGCTGCTTAACCAATTATTGCATGTATTAATGGTGGCTCCTGGAAAGGGAAAAAAATCTCTGATGGGAAGGCACTGAGAACAATATTAAAATTGCTCCAAGGAGTTAAAAACTGCATGGACACTGATGAGAAACTTCTTATTTTAATAGCAGGGATGCCCAGAGGTTTCTTAATGAAATCTTCTGGTTATTCAGGTAACTCTTCTACTGAACAGCCACTTCTTCCTGCACAAGGGGTAGGTTAGTGCCTCCTGGGTTTCAGCTGGATTCCCTGTGAACCTCCAGTTCTAATACTAAATCAGTTTTGCTTAAGGGCAGGTAGTGAGCAGATTTCCTGGTTCTGTGGGCTGCTCCAGGCAAGTGAATCTTCAGCAGCTGCTCGTTGTCCCTGGAGCAGTGACCATCCCCTTCCCCTGCCTCAGCTGCATGCTCCCAGTGGTCCTCCACGTAAGCTGTACAGGGGTGACTCCAGCTCACTGGTGGTGTGGAAGTGTCACATCTCACAGGGTGCTTCCCTGCTCAACTAATGGACTCCACCCCCTGGTTTCGTGGCCGAGCTGATCCCAAAATGACTTTGAGGGAGGAGGCAGGAGAGCAGACCTGGCGTGGAGACGTAGGGAGGAGGTGGGACTGTGCACACAGTCTGACCAGCTCAGCTCTGCCAGGTGAACACACACACTGGTGACAAGCAGCATGAATCAGTTTGTTTTCCCACCCTGCTGCCGTCAGCAGCCTTGGAATATGCAGATTGAGGACTGTTGGCTAAATAGGCAAGTCCTTCATGTGGAGAAAAGTCCTGCCTCTCTTGTCAGGACACACTTGCATCAGAAATCCAAAACAAGAGGTTAGGCTCCAGGGTTGATTACTGGTGGGAAGAGTGCTCCAGGGCAGGAGCTGCTTCCTCCAGCAGCAGATAACTTCAAGCACGCCCTCCTGCCCAGTCCCTCCCTTGCCCATTCAGTTAATATGTGGAAATTTCCCACTGTGTAGAAGCTGATCTAACCTAGTTCTGCTCTTTCTGTAGCTCCTGGTGCAGGCATGGTCTCTGTGTGGCTGCTGTAACTGTGGGGCTAAGATTGTGTTAAGCTGGTGGCTGTTCTTTCTCTCCACACTCCCTTGGTCTGTGCTGCCAGGAAGGTGCTGGAGACATCCTTTTTTCCTTTTCCCTTTCCTGTTCCCCTCTGGGGCAGTGGGAAACTGTGTTACACTTTGGAAGAAATGGTGCTGGTGAACAACAGGTAAGAAAAGGTCAGGAAAGATAAGGAAAGAGCATTTGGGAGCTCAGTGAGACAGGCTGAGCTCTGGAGCTTTCCCAGGAGGGAACTGATCTGCTCGGCCATACTCTTTACTCCTCTCCTTACCAGTAATGGGCTTGTTCCTGCTGCCAGCCCTGTGCATTATACTCACCTAGGTGTGGCCCTGACTAAGACCCAGGCAGGCTGTCACCTAAGGAAAGATGAGCCCCTGTGATAAGACCTGAGAGAAGAGTTTCTTGGAGCAACTCCATCTTTACCAACACCACTGAGTCACTTGGGTTCCTTAGTTTGTTTCGTGGCATTGCCCAGACAGTGCTACAGCACAGGGCAAGTGCTGCCCGGGGCCTGAAAGCCTTTCCAGGCAGTGAGCCACCTCCTCTGCCCTGGCAGTGCTCCTCCTCACTGCTCACTCCCTGCCTGGCCCTTTTTAAGGGGCTCCCAGGAAGGAGATTTGAAAACACAGCTAGGTTGTTAGGTGAGATCGATACATCTCCCGGGTTGTCCCTCCTTTAGGTGCTCGTTTCACAGCCCAGAGTGTTTTGTAGTGTGTCGGTTGAATTCACACTGGATAAAACGTAAAGGGCTGTTGTTCTCCAGCAGCAGGTTTGGGTCTTTGGGGCACAGTTGGTGTGAGTTTGGGGGCCCCTGTGAGGTGGGTGCTGCCGTGGGGTACGGTTTCACTCGGCAGAGCTGCTCCTGCTAAAAACAGACCGATGGTTTTGGCGTGTTCCCAAGAGGCTGCGGAGTCCTCTGGGACTTGGCCACCACCTAGGTCTCATTTTGCAGCTGGTGGCAGCTGCCTGGGGTGGGATTTGCCAGAGCTGTGGTGTCAGCACTGCCCCCAGCCCAGCCTTCCTCTTCCTCAGCGCACACGAACCGGCCGCGTCGGGGGGTCGGGTGGGTCCCGTGCTGCTTCCCCTTCTGCTGCTGCTCCTCTCTGCTTCCTCTGAGAGGCATTCCCCTTGTTCCTCTTCAGCCCCTGGGCTCCTCTCTGAGGACTGCAGGGCACCGCTCGGGTGCCCCGAGACCTTCCTGCTACTGAGTAATAAAACAAACAGAGAAGACTGAGCATGAGAAGCAGCG